TCGGGCAATTACATGGGCCAGAAATCACAGAAAGAGACTGAAGTGGGTTTTTATTTATTTGTTTTGTTTTTAGTTCTCTGTAGTGTGCATGTGCTTGTCAAATACAGAGAGGAAGAGAGGGAAAGTGATAAATCAGCTCTGCAGAGGGGATGGCCACCACAATCTTTTCTTCTCTATTCTCCTCTTGGGATTTTGGGCATGCACACTCTGGAGTGATTTTCAGGCCTCTGGGTCTGGGACTCAAACTGCACAGGTGGATCCAACTGCCATAACCTCTGCATTACCTGCTACCTCTGGAGACAGGTATTTTTGACAGGTCTTGCCAAGCTTCCCAAAAGCTGGATTACAGATGCTTGACACCATACCATGTATTTTTTTTTTTGGAGAGATTTTCACTATATGGCGCGTGCGCTCTCCAGACAGACAGAGAGGGACATTAGAGACAGAAAGCGAGAAATCACCTCCCAGGGGGGATGGTCACGCCACAATCCCTTCTCCATTCTCCTCTCGGGATCTTGGGCACGCACGTACACGCTCCCGGCGTGAGTTTTAAGCCACCGGGTCCGGGACGTGAACCGCGGTCGACTACGTGGGAGTCCAGCGACATAGCCATTACGCTAACTGCTGGTTCCCACCATACCATGCATTTTTGAGTTGATTCGGGAATAGGACCCTGGGCCTCCCATGTAGTCTCCAACTTCCCAAGACTATCACAGCTATGTCTTGATAGATTTCAATTGATTGGAATAAATTTTTTTATGTTTATTTGGCCATTGAGCACCCAGTCTTTTTTGTTTTTGTTTTCTTTTAAGTTTTGCTGGAGGGCATGTGTGCTTGACAGTTAATGAGAGAGAGAGAGAAAGTGAAAAGTAGGAAAGCACTCCCCATGGCAGATTGTCACAATCCTTGCCCCTTCATCTTTCCCTCCTTCTGGGATTTGGGGCATGCACACACAGGAGCCCAGTGTGTCTCAAGTCTATGGGTCCAGGACTCAAACCATGTGATTAGCCCTGTGGGTTTTAGCCACCTTAACCACCATGACATTGACTGGCCCTATGATATAATAGGTCATTGGAAAAGTCATGATCCATTTTTGCATAGAAAAATAAAAAAATACGTTGTGACTTTTCTAATGACCTAATAGTTTTTTTAAGTGAAGTAACTCTGTTACGATTTGTCCTCCAGGGAAAAACTCCATGTAATTTGTGTATAGTCATCCTTATATATAAGCCTCCTGGTACTCAGAAAGTGTTTCCTATTTTTATATTTTTATTTATGTACCTGGTAGTTTGATGGAAATAAAATAGTAAATATAATACTTCTATCTTATCAAGTGGTTGTCTATGATTAAAGAGCTTTCTGGGGACCAGCAGTTAGTGTAATGGCTATGTCGTTGGACTCCCACGTAGTCGACTGCGGTTCGCATCCCGGACCCGGTGGCTTAAACTCACGCTGGGCACGTGTGCATATGTGCCCAAGATCCCGAGAGGAGAATGGAGGAGAAGGGATTGCGGTGTGGCCATCCCCCCGGGGGGTGATTTCTCGCTTTCTGTCTCTCTGTCTCTCTCTCTGTCTGGCAAGCGCCCTATAGCAAAAAACTCTCAAAAAAAATAGTAAATATAATACTTCTATCTTATCAAGTGGTTGTCTATGATTAAAGAGCTTTTTGGGGACCAGCAGTTAGGGTAATGGCTATGTCACTGGACTCCCATGTAGTCGACCATGGTTCGCGTCTTGGACCCGGTGGCTTAAAACTCACGCCGGGCGCGTGTGCGTGCGTGCCCAAGATCCCGAAAGGAGAATGGAGGAGAAGGGACTGCGGCGTGACCATCCCCCCTGGGGGGTGATTTCTCGCTTTCTGTCTCTCTGTCTTTCTCTGTCTGTCTGGCAAGCGCACGCGCCCTATAGCAAAAACCTCTCAAAAAAAAAAAAAAAAAGCTTTCTGACTGATAGCCAGTCATAAATCTAATTTCCTACTGTGAATGAAACTAAATACATTATATGCAATTTTACTAAATGTAAAAAAGCTAAATGTAATTTTAGATTTAAATGTTTCAGAGTATGAGATGCTATTTTTTCCATCTTTTTTTTTTTCAATTTCTATCCATGGTTTTTAAGATGACATTTTTCCCCATGAGATTATTTTTTCCAAATTTTTATTGTTGCTAAAGTATCATGGATTCTCCTTGTGATTTGTGTGATGTATTTGAACACTCACAGGACATATCCGGATTTCAGATCTTGGTTTAGCTGTGGAGATTCCAAAAGGCGGGACAGTTCAAGGAAGAGTTGGAACAGTTGGCTACATGGGTATGTGAAAGACCATTTCATCTGTCCCTGTCTTTTGTATCTCTGATGCCTGAATGCCTCAGAACATAAAGAAATGACAGTGTGAGACTGAGGTCTCCTTGCTTTGCCAGGTCCTTCTCTGTGCATGCTGGTCTCAAAGACCCTTATGCAAAATCATATCACTCTGGCCCATGTCCAAGTAGTTAAGGTGTATCATATCCCACATGGCTGACCCCAGTTTGAATCCTGGTCCTGGCAGCCTAAAAATACTAGCAAGTTAGTTTGCATGCCCAAAACCCCTACAGGATGGAAAAATGGAAGAGGAGACATTGTGTGACTACACCCCATTGGGGGATGCTTTCTCCCTCTCTGTCTCTCTCTGGCAAGCACATGTGCCCTCTGAAAATTAAAAAAAAATTTACTCTGGTCATTCCAAAATCTATGGGCAGAGAGTTGGAGTCATTTCCGCTATTTAATTTCAGGACATTTTTATTGCTTGAGAAATGAAACTTTGGACTGTCTCCCAACCGTTTCCAAGTGCCCAGATCTCCCCATTTCCAGCTCCCTTATCTGCCATTATTCTCAGCCCCTGCAGGAGACTGCTTTAAACCTCTAGCTGCCTTTTGACCATTCAGGAATACTTTCAGACTTCATAGTTTCCTGAAGCACATAGCACGTCCCCTACTCTCTTCCACAGCTGAACCCCTGCAGCTCAGCCATAGGTGTACCTGTTCTCAAGGACCTGGGAGGCCAGCAACAATACAGGTTGTAGGGTGAGTGTCAGGGAGATGGAGATGCAGAGATCACAGCTCATCTCCTTCCACACACTTTTGAACTCTCAGAATTAACTCCAAGAAATTAGGAAGAAATGTATAATCCATCAGATGACTAGAAACCAGTGCAGAGGCACAAGATATATAAGAAATCAAGAAAATACCTCTTGGGGCTGGCAGGTGGCATGGTGGTTAAGGGCACTGGACTCACACATGGCTGAGAGTGGTTCAAGTCCCAATCCTGGTGGCTTGCTTTCTCACTTTCGCTCTCTCTCTCCTCCTCTCTAGTCAAATTAAAATAAATAAATAAAGTTAAATAAAATAATTCTTTAAAAAAAGAAAGAAAGAAAGAAAATATCTCTCCCCCAAAGGAAAAGAACAATTCCTCATCATCCATAGACAGTACAATGGAATTCATGGAAATGTCAGATAAACAATTCGGAATATTCATAGCGATGAAACTAAATGAGATGCAAGAGAAAAGAGACAATGAACTCCAAAAGATGGAAGAGGAAAGAGACAACAAGCTCCAGGAGATGAGGAAGTCCTTCCACGATTTAAATGAAGAAATAGACACTATAAAAAAAGAATCAAATGGAACTGTTAGAGAAGAAGGCGGTAATACAGTAAATCAAAACCACCCTCAAAAGTATTAAAAGCAGATTAGATCATGTAGATGATCAAATCTAGGATGTAGAAGATAAAACCTCTGACCTAGAAAAAAAATCCCCAAAAAGACTGAAAAAAATAACAACAAAAATATTGAGAACAACATACAAGAAATAGATACCATTAAATACCCAAACTTCTTTTTTTTTTCTTTCCTTGGAGAGGTTTTTGCTATAGGGCACATGCGCTCGCCAGACAGACAGAGACAGAGAGATATGAAGAGAGAAATCACCCCCCTGGGGGGATGGCCACACTGCAATCCCTTCTCCTCCATTCCCTTCTTGGGATCTTGGGCACGCACGAACACATGCCTGGCGTGAGTTTAAGCCACTGGGTCCAGGACTCAAACTGCGATTGACTACATGGGATTCCAGCAACATAGCCATTACGCCAACTGCTGGTCCCCAACACCCAAACTTCTGAATAATTGGTATCCCAGAAGGTGAAGAAGCTAATAAGGGAATTGATCATCTATTCCATGAAATCCTGGAAGAAAACTTTCCAAGTCTAGAGAAGCAGTCAAACATCCAGACCTAAGGAATACAAAGAACCCCAAATAGAATCAACTCAAAAGATCCTCTCCATGGCACATCACAGCCAGATTGTCCAAAACCACAGATAAAGATAAGATATTAAAATTGGCAAGATAAAAAGATCAAGTTACTTACAAAGGTTATCCCATCAGGCTAACATTGAACCCAAAAATAATGTAAGCAAGGAAAGAATGGGAAGATACATTCAAAGTGTTAAAAGAAAAACATTTTCGGGAACCAGCAGTTAGTGTAATGGCTATGTCGCTGGACTCCCACATAGTCGACTGCGGTTTGCGTCCCGGACCCGGTAGCTTAAAACTCACGCTGGACGCGTGTGCGTGCGTGCCCAAGATCCCGAAAGGAGAATGGAGGAGAAGGGACTGCGGCGTGGCCATCCTCCCTGGGGGGTGATTTCTTGCTTTCTGTCTCTCTGTCTCTCTCTCTCTGTCTGGTGAGTGCACGTGCCCTATAGCGAAAAACCTCTCCAAAAAAAAGAAAAACATTTTCAACCAAGATTACTATACCTGCTAAGATTATCCTTCAAATGGGAAGAAAAGATAACATTCTCAGATAAACAAAACTTAAAGAATTTACCAACACCAGACCAGCTCTTCAAGAAATTCTGAAGGGAGCGCTATACCAGAAAAACTAAAAAGAGACAGACAGAAATAAGAGAACAAGGGGACCAGCAGGTGGCATGGTGGTTAAGGTGCCAGACACTCCCACAAGGCCGACCATGGTTCAAGTCCCGGACCTGGTGGCTTGCTTTCTTATTACCTCTTTCTCTGTCTCTATCTGGTCAAATAAAAATAAATAAATGGATGAATAAATAAAATTTAAAAAACAAAACAAAAGAAATAAGAGAACCAAAAACAACCAAGAAAATGGCCAACTTAATGGTAGGGACAAGTTCAGAAATATCGATAATAACATTGAATGTTAATGGATTAAATTCTCCAATCAAGAGACCAGATTGGCTGAATGGATAGAAAAACAGGAACTCTATATCTGTTGCCTATAAGAAATGTATCTTGTGGATAAAGGCATACATAGACTAAAAGTCAAGTGCTGGAAAAAGGTATCCCATCCAAATGGAAACTAAAAAAGCTGGAGTTGTGATACTGATTTCAGAAAAAGTAGGAATTAAGACAAAAACTGTAAGAAGAGACAAAGAAGGTAATTATATAGTAGTAAAAGTGCTAATTCTAAAAGTGCTAATTCATCAAGAAGATATAACAGTTATAAATATCTATACACCCAACTCAGGAGCACCCAGATACATGAAGGAAAGAGTTCTAAATCTATTGTTGG